TCTTGGACGCCTTCGACAAAACGTATGCAACCGAACCACCAGTTATGCTATTGTGCAGCCTTCATGGAGGCCCCTGACATAGAACAGACATGGAAAGAAAAGAAGGCAGTAGTTAAAAACTATAGAAAGTGCAAAAGACACTTCACTTGTTATTAGGAGGTGGCAGAGAAGGCCTAAAGTGTTCGAAAACAAGTAGAGTAGTTAAAGACCGCACTATTTACACAGATAATGGTATGCCCATGACAACAAAGAGAAATGGAAAGCATTTTTTGGCAGAAATTTATAGCACAAACTGATCACACTGATGTGGAAATTAGAAATGCAAGTAAAGCAAAGCAAAGATCCCTTTTCACGCCTTTAGCCGTATCGGGTATATGGGAAGAGCGTCCCATATTTTTACAGACCAATCGGCACTGGATGGGTAATGTGGTCGTCTTTACTTTCCCAGGACAGCCATCCTGGTACCCATTTTAGGCTGGGTCAACCTGCGACGCCCCATACCATGATAAAAATCCACGCAGCCAGCAGTGGGTTTTGATCGCTGTACGTTGGATTGCGAGTCGGACTCGCAACGCCTAAGCCATGGATGCAATTAGAAATGCAGTGAGAGAAAATCTATCGAATACTGCAATTGGTAATCATGTTTAGGATATTATTCGGGTAAAGTAAAGTAAAGGACCCTTTTCCACGCCTTAAGGCATATAGGGCTAGACCTACATTTGTATAGGCCTCGGCACAAAAAAGGTGATGTGGTCAGCACCACTCCGGCCGCCCTTACTTCCCGGAACTGCACCCGGTACCCACTCAAGGCTAGGTCGACCTGTAAGCCAAGGTCATTTTTGAAAAAAACTCCGGCTCCGCCAGAGAGCAAACCCACGACCTTCCGATCCGCGGCGAGTGTCTAGCCAAGGAGACTCCCATATTATTCGGGTAGAAAATGTTTAATATTTATTGCAAAAAGCAAAATACACTGAACGGAGCCACACGCGGTCAGGTTATTCACATAAGAAGGTCATGAGTGAGAAGACTTAAACTTAAGACTTGCAGCACCAGAACAGCGTCAATACCCATGATGGGTGCAAAGATATACAGACCCCACCTCACCCCCTTTTTCCCCTCACCTAAAATAGTGGCTCTCAACCTTCCTAATGCCGCGACCCTTTAATGCTTTTAATGCAGGGCCCTCGTGTTGTTGCGACTCCCAGACAATTATTTTCCTTTATAACTTGAATGAACATGTGTTTTCCGATGGTCTACGGCGACTCCTATGAAAAGATCGTTGGACTAAAATTGGACTAAGGATTATTACGTCTTGGATGTCGCAAGCTGAAAACACAATTGGGCGTGTATGCAGGCTTGATAAGAAGAGGAGTGGGTCAAAGTGTCCGAACAAGTTTCAGACTTTTGTAGGGTTCTAATCACTTTAAGTCGTGAGTGCAGAGATTAGCCAGCTGGTGCTGCAGAATTAGAAGTTTAACAAATGATTCATGACAATTCGCGCCTAGGTGATGTGATTATCTATACAGATGGCTTTGTGTTGAGGGGCAGACGATGTGCATGGGAGTTGTTATCAAAAGCGAATGGACGTTGCTTAGAGCAACAAAGCCTGGCATGTGATACAACAGTCTAGTTTGAAAAAGGAGGTGGGGATAGTCACTGCTGCCTTCTGCTGGCTTGCGAATCAGCTGTACACACATGTCGTAATTGTAACTAACTCACAGAGCCTAGGGAGAAAGGTGGAGACACGTATGCTCCGTGCAGGAGAGCGAGCATCGTTTCAGAGGTTCCGGTTAGGTGTAAGGACCCTTTGGGAGCGAGTAAAGTGTAGAGGAACACAGAGATCGTCACAATCTGGAGAGAATGAGCAGCGAGGAATAAGAATGATTCAGGGATCTGCCTGACGCTCAGCACTCATTGGAGGGGCAAGACAAACGTTTAATCAGACTGTTACTGGTACCATCAAAGTTGGAACTCTGCGCTTGCTGATTAAGATGAAGACGGAGCGCTTGTGGGAATGTCCTCGGTTCTAACTCATGCCACAAATAGTCGAAGATAGAAATGTACGGAGATGTTACTAAAGACGCATGCACGCCGCTCATGCGCAGTCTGCTGGAGAACGCTATAATGACTTTCCACCATTGTTTGTTGTCTTTACTTGGATATATGTGCACGCTTTTCCTCGCGTTGTTTGAAGTGGGACTCGGTATATGATGTTAATCTATTTTACATGTACAAATTAGAAATTTTATTAAAAATTGGATACGATTTTTTGACTTCCAAAGGTCTTCGGTGCAGACATTGACATTGAGAGGTAATAAATTATAAATTTTAAAGAAAATCACTGCTCAGCTCCGCAACCTGTAAGTAAGTGTACAGTACATCTATCTTGACTAGGTTGTGTTCTCTGTCTCATCGTTCACTGTTCTGCGCATTCAGTTTTGTAGATTACATAAACTGGACTTCCTTCTCGTTTTTAAAAGTCTCCTCACCTTAAATCATCATTGGGCCTTGCATATATATGTTTCAGTGAGCAACGGGGTTATTATTTTATTTATTTTAATAATAATATTATTTGCTCTTCTTTTCTTTCGAACTTCGTCTCCATATTTTGGCGGCCAAACAAATACCCTAACAAGACCTCAGTCGTGTGTAAAATGCGGAATGCCTGCCGAGGAACAAATCGCGGCAAAACTAGGATTGCCTCGAAATAACGGGCCAATATTCAATATTATCGAGGGGAAAAAAAAAAAAAATACTCCTAACAGGGTCTCAGTGATATGTAATTATGTTAATTGTGGACCTGTTTCTGCAACTATGCTGTACCACCGACAGTATCCAACAAGCCGCGCGTAGCGGATGGGGAGTGGCTAAACTAGAGATGCTGTAGCTGCTGCTCGTGAGTCCCGGCCATCTAGTTTAGCCCCGTATCGGGAGATACGGCTCGGCAGTGAGTTTAACTGGAAGAATACAATCGCTAACCTGCGTCGGAGCGTGTGGCATTATCGTGTGTATTGTTGCGTTTCTCAAAATTGTCAATGGACAGTAATCCTAGTTTTGCACTGTGTATTTATCGAAGGAAGTCAGCATTTTACACATGACTAAGGCCCTGTTTTAGTCGTGTCCATTTCTTGTAGTCATTCCAGGTACTTCTCCCCCCACCCCCTCTCCATCTTCTTCGACTAATCCCCATCCTCCAGTCCAGTGTTCCTTGAAGGTAGTCTTCGCAATTTATTATTGTATATTAGTCATTGGAGATAGAAAGTAAAGTGATTTTAGATTTACTGGTAAGATATTTAAAAAAGTATAATCACCATCAGCATAGAAAATTGTAGGTCCTTATATGAATATATGCTGCTCACCACATTTCTTTTTAAATAGAGTAGTCATAATGAAGGGCACTGTTATCAGAATCATGATGCGGCCATTACTTCCCAAAACAGTTTCTTGGACCCAGTTTAGGCTGAGCCAGCTTGAAAGCCTGGATCCACACACACAAAAAAGAGATCCCCTCTTTGATAAGGTTCCTAACACATGACTAGGGCTGGCAGGCAAAAGTAGCAGAGGATTTAGTAAATTATTACACATTCTCATTAAAAGCATGCCAGAGCTCCAAAGTTGAGTTGTTGAGTCAAGAATTGACATCACAGTACTCAGAGCATTTCCATATGCCCTCCATCCCTGTCTTCAGCAGCCAGCAGCGCAGAGTTCCAATACTAATTAGTAATTGTACTGGTGGCAATCAGATTAAATGTCCGTCATGCCTTTCCTCTGAGTGTGGTGAGCTGGCCAGACCCTCTGATTACGCCCAGGTGCATCATTCTTTCCAGGCCATTATAATCTAGTTTCTCTTCTGACTTCGTAACTTGTTCCCTTGACCCTGCCTTGTCATGGACCAAATCACAACACAGTGGTGCAGAACCAGCCAATATGTCTGCCGGTTCATTCCCCAACACGTCAGTATAGCCTGGATAAAAAAGATCCAAAGTATGCTTACTACCCGTGACCTCCCTAGTGAAGTTTGCCACTCTGCTCAAAGCATCTCTGTCTTTACCTTTCTCAGCATGCTTTCAGACCCTGTTACAATTATGACATGTGTATGCATCATGTTCTCTAGCTCCAAAGGTGAGCTGCAAAGTGGATAGCTGAAAAAAATTACTAGAGGAATCATAGTGTTTGGTGCTCAGTCGATGTTACTGAAGGTTCAATATCGACACATGAGGCACGATGGATACCAAGTGTAAACACTTAGCAGTTACATGCATATCCTATCAGGGATATGCAGGGAAATTAATGAGCGAGGTTTCTGTCTATGAAAGCTGCAGCAAAGGGATGAGACTGACATTCTGGAGACTGTATATGAATGAATGCTGGTGGACAACAAAATATAATGTTAGATGAGACAGCATTTCTTAGGTTGCATTAATTTGACATTAAGGGTCGATATTTAGCATTAAGTGTGGATCCAGCAAAAAAAGGTTGTAGAAGAGTAAGTATCTGATGTGTATACAACTGGTGTTATTGAAACAATCAGCATAGCATATATACACATTGTGATATTTGTTATGATAGATGGAGAATCTGTGAGTTAGCCAATTAAGCTGTGATGTCGATTCTCTAATATTTAGTCAATTTCAGTGAACCAACAAGCACAATTATTGTATAGTCATCCACATTTTAGAATGTAAAGTTAGTTGCGTATCCTTTACAGGACGTTGTAGAACCAACCCCAGCATTTTTTTGGCTGTTGCTATTTTTGCAGGCAAATTTGATGTTCAGTAGTTTGCCATTGATTTGCTGAAGGGTAAGCTCTTGGTACCACTGTCAAAACCAACACATGACAAAGCGCCCGCAGCTGGGATCGAACTCGGCACCCCTGCATTATAAAGCGCATTCGTAACTCCTAAGACACAGACACAGACTTTTAGAATATAAGTTGACATTTATTAATTCATTCTGGTTTATACTTTCAGATAGTTCAGAGCTGATTGTAATTTGGAGCAATGAACAACGAATCTTCAAGCAAATTCATTTCAGCATTAGTTAAGGCACTGCAGACATTGTGTCATGGCTATATTGAATTTAATGATGGCATTGAAATTATAGGTCACATTTATTTGAATATTGACAGTGGTTCAAGCTTTGATTATGTGGTCAAAGAAAAACTCTGCAAGAGCACAGAAAACTCCACAGTTTTTGTCAGCAAAAGCTTTCAGGCTCAAGCACCGCTTGATGAGTGTCTGACAAGAAAAGACAAAAATGACCATGCTACAGAGTTTGATGATGCTCCAGATATGTCCCCAACAACTGGGACTACCAGGATAGCCTCAGCCATCACCAGCATTAGCAACGTCTTATCTGGAGCACAGGATAGTCAAAGGTCTAGGCTCTTGGATCATTCTTCTCTTCACCCTTTGCCACAGAATACAGGAAAGCGGAAAAGAGAACACAATGGCAGCTATGGCAGTTTGCAGCCCCCAGTCAAGTATACCACTCTGCAAGCATCATCCTCATCCTCTTCACCGTATTTCAGCAGTGAACCATCGTCAAAGTTACCAGCAGACAGAAACCATTCAGAACACTTCCATGCTTCTGCTCATGGGGAATTTTTTGGTGCTGACAGCAACCCGAGCTCCGGTATGGGTGCAGACGAGGAGGATGATCTTCACTTAGATGTGACTTTTGTGAAAGAAGAATATCAGAGAAATTCCAGCCATCGAGGAGCCCCAGCCAGTGCAGCTTCACGGCTTAATCAAGGTACCGTATGTTATACATTTTTTATTTTTTCCTTGGTTGGGGGGGGGGGGGTGTATGATTCCTGTTGTTTTATTAGTTGATAAAGTCTTTTTGATATATTTCAGTTGAATTGTTGTGCTACTTATCCTTTCCCTTCATTAAGTCTCCATTGCAGATCACCCTGTATCCTTCCCATCTGTTCCCCCCAGTCTGTAATTCTCTGTTCTGTATGATTTCTTTTTTCTGTGACCCTATGGGTTCAGCACCAGGACATGCAGTATTAGTGATTATTTGTTTCCTTTAACATATTCCATCTGTTTTATTCTTAGATCATCAGTTGTCCCCTTAATTAATCTGACCGGAGGTCTTCACAATTTAATTTGATGCAGATATGTATACTATTGTCTTCTCATAGGCCTTGCCATCTGGCATTGGTAATATTTTTTGTCTACAACCTTCTGTTGTTTATACTACCAGTCATTTTTTTTTTAAATAAAGAAATTTCATGCAATGGTGCTAAACTACCTAACATCATCTCCTTCGTAACACCCTACCTCTCCTTCCCTCCAGCTTTCTCATGGTCATAATGTATTAACTTTCCCCCTTCTCATGGCGTACCAAATGGAAGATGACTGCCTCCTTCAGATGCAGATAATCAATTCTAATTATGTGATCATTTCTTTCAAGACATCCTCATTGCCCTTCTGACCATGATATGCTCATCATTATTGTGTACAACCCAATATCTGCAGCTTCCACAAAATTGTTTGTACCAGCTGACTGTCCATGATTGACTTCCATACACCAGTATTAGTGCTAATAAGCTCTTAACTCTCTTCATGTATAGACAGTACAGGCTGTTAAGAGTCCTTTTCTATTCTGCCAGTGGGCAAATACAACACTAATCATATGAGACGTGGAACAAGAGGAAATAATATAAAATGTCCTTATAAACCTTTCCTTTTTATCATTAGTCATAATTTTTCCTTCTGTAGATTTACCCTCCAATCACTCACATATGCTTCATGATGGAACATCTGGAGTTGGTGCACTGGGCTACTCATCAGGGCATCACCAAGGATCACATTTTGCTAGTGGAACAGCTGGAGACATAGGAAGCATAAATGACAGTTTTCATGACACTTCTCAAGTTGACATTGGTCACAATGCAGCACAGGGGCCTCCCAATCCTCGAAGTGAGTATTCACCCTTTGTGTATTTTGTGTGTGTTGTGAATGTGCATGGGATGGCATTGAAGGTGTACTTACCTCATGGGCACCTTATACTGCAGCATAGGCACCTTACACTGATAAAACTTCACTAGGAGTTTTGTCACTCAACCACAGAATGACTTGCATGTTTTAGTCAACTTTTAACAGTGCCAGCACCAGCAGGCTCCAGTTCGTGGCAAGTTTCGGGAGGTCAAGCTTAAGAAGAGGTCATAATCCATGTAGTCCAAGATTTATATTCTTTGACAATGTTTGGCATTGAAATGTGGTCGGATTTAGAGTCAACACCAGCAAGAAAATTGTGTGCTGCAGTGTAATTATACGTTTAGGGAAAATTCTAGACACAGCAAAATAATATAACCATTAGCTTCATTGTGAGGGGATTCCTATGCTCTTTCTTGTGCACAAGCTCGAAGATGTAATTGCCTTAATGATCCCACCAAGGATCCACATTTTGCTACTGAAATCACATATCTGTTTCTACTTTAATACTTTGCTGACCCTGAACTTATATTTGGTGATTCTGTCTCCTAATTCTCCCATCAGTAACAGTGTTTATTTTGTTACTGTTCAGATAATTTGTGCCACTGATAGTGTTGTAACTGAAAATGATGAGTAAAATACATTTACAATCAAAAGTGGCTGAAAAAAATATTATTTCACTCCATACAACTGTCTTATTACATTCTAATTGTTTATAATCTTTTTAAGGTGGAATCGTCAGTTTTCCTGATGGCAGGCAAATAAGAATGTGTCCCAAACAGTAATTCCAATACCATAATGTGCAGTTTTGTCCAAATAGTGGGTTTAATTTTGTGATAGAACAGCTTTTCTGGCATTATCTATGCTTAATGAATGCTTTCCTGTTTTCCAAGCACTATATGAACGTCAGCAGTCTTTCGTATTTATCAGATCTAATAACTGTTGCAGGACCTGGCTCTTAGACAGAGTGACCAAAAATTATTCTTTGGTTTATTTCTCTAATGTTCTACATTGTATTGTCTTCCTGTTTATAAGATGTTATGTATCTCTTGAGTTTCGACTTATCTGAAGATGGTGATCTAAAGTTGTTTATGTTATATAGTGATGATCTAAGTTTCTTGGGGATACAGGTATGGTTAGATTTTCAGTAGTGTTCTGATACCTAAGTTGCTTTGTGATTCATTTGTTTGGAAATTCACTTCCCCCTATGACATGTTTAACTGCCAGAAAAATTAATGAATAGTTCTTCATTTTTGTTGATTGCTTCAGGTTCGTGTTTCTCTATGATCTCCTTATAGATCATGCATCCTATTTTGGCATTCATGTCCAAAGTTTAAAAAAATAATATATATATTTATTTGATTACCTTTGAAGATTCTTGTAAAACATCTCCTCTGATTCATCCTTCACATTTGTCAATGCGTAACGATGGATCATATTAAAGTTTTGTTTCTCCTGTGTGGTTCTAAATGTTACTGTTATTATTCTGTAATTATCTGCATCTCACTTTGTTAGTGCTTTTTTGGCCTCTTCAGATTTAATTTAGACCACTCCTTTATTGTGGGGGCATCTTGCCCTGTGTGGCTTGAGAGCAGCCTTATTTAACCTGCAGGTGCCATTGTTTTTCATTTTAAATAGTTTTGTTGGGCTGGTTCATTGAAATTAAATTAAAAAAAAAAAAGACTGAATGCAGGCATTTATATTGTGATGGTTATTAAATTATAAAATTTCACACTTTGAAGGTTGTAGATTAATTTCGAACTTCGTTCTTTGTTTCGCAAGTGAAGGTTTTTCTTAAATCCATGGAGGTTGTTGCGGGAGCTGTAGGGTTCACAGTTTAAACTGTGATCTCTGCAAGTGACCAAACGCTATGCGGAAAAATAGTTGTATGGGGTAAAACCTCATGTTGTAATAAGGTCGATCCTCTCGCCTTTTCAGTGCTTTAAACAAATGTTACAAACTGCCCACTGACAATTCTTGAATCTGATCATGTTCGAGGACAGTTTATTGTCTTTTACTTTTTCTGACTTTAGGTGCCAAGTTGAAAAATTAGTGTACGTAATATTATTTCATTTCTGAAATTTTAGTTTATATTTAGTTTCCATTGTTATATTTTATTTGCTCATGGTGAATTTTATATTTTTAAAAGACTGGTGACTTGTGGACTTGTCTTTTCATCATCTCCAATATAAATCATTGTTTATATGTGCATGCCATTTGCCTCACTTATATCACTGGATTGTACTTAATTGATAGTGATTTGTCGCTATAGATTTGTTTTAGAAATCTTAGGGTGCACAGTACTGATAACATGTAATTGTTGACCTCTGTAATTCACATATACCTGTACAGTGGAAGTTTGATGTGTGGTCATCACTTTCAGAATAGTGTCCCTGTGTCTAGATATTCTCTTATGTTTATATTTATTCGACGGATCAACATCATGGCACACTTGTGTAACCTATAAGTGCTCCGTTCTACTTTTAACTCAAGCCTGAGTCTGAAGAATTTCGGCGCAGTGCACGAACTCAGCGAGGATCCTGAAATACTTTAGGTAGATTTTTAACTCCAAATTTTGCCCGGGCAGTGCCATTAGGCCACTCTTTTCGATTTCCTACTGCCAAGGGATTTTTTACATGCACAACGATACACATGGGCGTCCGGTCTCCCCAGCAACCAGGGGAAGTTAGAAGTCCACATGAAAAAATCCCATTCTTCACCTGGGCTCGAACCTGGGGACCTCAAGTACCTGAGGCGAAACCAAACCTCAAGATCACTCAGGATTCCCTGTCATGGAAACACAGGAAGTATATTCACTGATTCAGTAAAAAAAAATTGTTAAAGCCACATTACAATTTCTTCCTTGTCCTGACAAGTTAAGAGACACACATAGTATCTTAAAGCACTCTGTTCTTCTCACACACATATTTTCCTAATGGGAGCAGACATGTCAGCGATCATCGCTCTTATGCCTAATCATATTTTCAAAATTGCATTCAAAGTGATTGTTATAAACAAAGAACGACAAGTTGCGGAAATTAACTGGGTCGGCTAACGTTAGTGCTGTGTTACGTGTAAAAAATGTAGGCTTAGTACTTGTATGTTTTCTCATATCTGTAGTAGATTTTGACATAATATGGTGCTACTGTGACATAATATGGTGTTTCCCTGACATAATATGGTGTTTCCCTGACATAATATGGTGTTTCCCTGACAAAATATGGTGTTTTCAAGACATAATATGGTGTTTCTGAGATTCCCACATGGGTGGTTTGTGATATTTATTTTCTTTGACAGCAAGGGGGAGGGGGGGGGAGTATGCAGTTGTCAGGAGTATGAAAGGATGAGAGACTGAAGAGGTATACCAGGAAAATGAAGAAGAGAGAAAGAGAATAGTTAGTTCATTTCATATTGTCATGGTTACACTTAAGAATCATTTGTAATAATAAATTTATCCTACGTTTCTAACTGTGTTGGTCCAGTATTGATTAATGGACCTCTTCACTTGCTGGTTTTGATGCAGTTTCCTGGCCACATTTATCTTCAGTCTTAAAATGTGCACTGTTTTCTTTTTATCTATTGATGCTGATTTCTTAAATTAATTGGAAATCAACATATCTGCAGCACAATCCATTGGTAGACCATTGATTGACCCTCTTATATAAATGTAATGTCTGCCAGCCTTCTCTCTTTCGTTCCTCCCAACACCTATCAGCTTTGTAGCATTGTTTTTCTGGTGAATCTGCTTGATCTAATGTTTTAGAAGGGCATTTCCTTGTCTCATCTGTATGTTGACATGCGTTCCGCCTTATTTGGTTGGTAATGCTAGTTAGTGTTTTTTTTTCTTATGAATCTGGATTGTTTCCAACTGTTTTCAACATTACATGTTTTCTTTCTTAATGAACATCTGCATGATAGGGTAATGATGACACTATGGCACAAGGATTAGTGAATGTGTTTAATAATTTTGAGATCCTAGAGTACTAGGGTTCAATTTAAATGATGGGCTGTTAATTTTTTTTAAAAATTATTCTTGTGGTTTTCAAGCAGTAGTACAAGAGTCAGGCCATGGAAGGGACTGGGGCCTCTCCCATCACATAATATTCCCAAATACTGCAAAGGGTACACTTTAGCCAGCATTCATTGCAGAGATTGCATACAGTTTGTGTGTGTGTGTGTAGTCATCCGCAGTAGTGAAAGGACCTGATTTAAAACAAATTATCACTCACTGTAGATGATCTAACTATGATAACATCTGTGTAAACATACATACACACAAACACACACTCACATGTATATATATCATCATCAAGTGCCTTGCCGACCGGCGTGATCGATCATGCCTCTCCACAGTCTTCGATCCGCAGATGCGTGTATCAGTTCCTATGTTGACACACCTCCATAACAAAAAGCCTTCAAGTATCTTTTCGCACCGTCTTCCTCTGTCTCTCTTTCCAGTGGTCACGGCATGTTCTATTTTCCCTCTTCTCATAACATGGCGAAAAAATTATGTCTCTTTTCTGATGTTTTGTGATAAGTTGTCTCCGAGCAGTCCCCTCTTTCAAAACATCTGGGTTGCTCTTCTTAGCTGTCCAAGGAATTCTAAGGATTCTTCTATAAAACCACATCTCCGAGGCCTCAAGATATTGTTTTGGCTTGTTTATATATATATATATATATATATATATATATATATATATATATATATATATATATATATATATATATATATATATATATATATATATATATATATATATATATATATATAAATATATATATATATACATACATATAAAACAAGCCAAACAATATATACATTATATTATATATATAAACTCAGTTCACAACACTCTTCTACAATGTACTCTTATCGTTCTGTAATTTGATCTTCTCTTCTTCTTTCGTTCGCATGAAATAAATTATCTATATCTGCAAAGCTGTCTCTAGTATGAATTTTACTCTCTTTTGTAATTCACTAAGCG